GAAATTACCCAGGACTCCAAAGCTACTACTACTTGGAAGTGCTGAGACCCAGACTCTAGGATTGGTCAGTCTCAGTACTATTCAGATTTTGAGGTGAACAATTCCTAGATTAGGAGGCTGTGTACTGCAGGATGTTTAGAATTTAGAAGCATGTCTGGCCTCTACCCACTAGATACCCTAAGTTGTTACACTTCAAAATATCTCTAGACATTGTCAAATGGCCCTTAAGGACCAAATCTCCCTTAGTTGAGAAGCCCTGCTTAGTCTGACACCAGAGCCCAAGCTCTTCAAAACACCTTTCTGTCCACACCTGACAGTCTTGATTCCGGGGCTGAATTCGGCTTACTTAAGACCTCAGCGTTCATCAATCTACATCCAGACTCTCGGCTCTGCACTTTGACAGTCATGCTAACCCCAAAAGTAGTCTAAACCTTCAGGGCCTGGATGAATGTGCAAACTGCCACTATGAGTAAGCAGAATTACTATAAACCCTTTGTCTACACTGTGTCAGTCTTCGTGCATACAGTCATAACACTCTCATAGTTATATGTCTGTTTATCCCACTAATCCAGTCATACCTTGGTGCCCAAGTGCTTTAAAACTCATTGAATTTGGTGCTCAACATATTTTTTCAACATATTTTGATATGAAAATCTGCCCCAGTAATTGTTTGGTATTCAACATCCAAGTCATAACTTGGTGTGGACTGCCTCGTGACTCGCTACCCTTTCCAGACAAAACAATTTGTTTGGTACAGTACTCACTGTTTTTGGTACTTGTCATGCCTCCTGGGGCCAATTAAGAACAAGTACTGAGGTACCACTGTGTAAATTTTTTCCCAGCACAGGCTGTACCTCACTCACATCTATATCCTCAGAACTAGAAAGCATCCAGATGTTTCTGAAATTCTGCATGCCATCAAAACGCTGAATCTCCTCGCTTTAAATGCGTAACTAAAATATCTGAAAGTACCCAAATCAATAGTTACATAAATTTTTGGGGGGTGCCAAGAATTGAGCCCAGGGCCTTGTACAACAGATAAGCTTTAATCAATATGAATTCTATCCTAATAAATGGGTCTTGTTTCAAACAGGACCCCAAAGAATTCTCTAACTCATGATCCAAACATTACTAACAGACATAATGAACTCTTCAGAATTTTCCAAAACCACACAGAGATCAAATTGCCTTTTTCTTTTTCTTTGCAGGGATTGGGGGATACTATGGATTACACTCAGGGCCTCTGCAATGAGTTCCACCCTCAGCTCTTTTTATTTTTTTACTTTGAGACAAGGTCTAAGTTTCTAAATTGTCCTGGCTGGCCTTAAACTTGCAATCCTCCTGCTTCAGCCTCCCTTGTAGCTGGAATTAAAGACTTACACCACCACACCCTGCTAAGGATAAATTTTCCTAACCTTAATATACCTTTCAGCCACGTGTGGTGGCACACACCTGTAACCTAGCACTTGGGAGGTGGTGGCAGGAGGATCACCACAAGTTCGAGGCCAGCCTGGGCTACATGGTTAGTTCAAGGTTAGTCTAAACTATACAGCAAGACCCTGTTTCAAAAAAAAATAAAAAAGGGCCGGGGATTTAGCTCAGTGGTGCCGCCACCTGCCTTGCAAGCACAAGGTCCTAAGTTCAATCCCCAATACCAAAATACCTTTCAGTCAGTGTATACTTCAGTCAATGTACCTTTCAATACAGTTTATCAAGAGGTTAAAAAGTATCACATTATTTTGGATCATGAAAGCTCCATCCCACAGTAAATCTCTTGGCACTAATTTATCAGTTCACTAGTTTTGTTAAACTAACAGTACTAAACACAAAGAACAATGTGTGTTTTGTACTAGGTACAAAAGAGTATTAGGTAGAAAAGTGAATGAACTAAAACAAAGAAAGAAAGCTGGGAATGGTGGTATACAATTATAATCCCAGTATTCGAGGAGGCTGACCAAGGACTACAAGTTTGACCCTAGCCTGGGCTAGTGACTTAGCAAGAACCTATCTGAAAACAAAAAATAAAAAAGGGTTGGAGGTCTAGGGATATAGCTCACTGCAAAGGCTCTGGGTCCAATGGGCAGTGCTTAAAAAAAAAGTTGTGCTTCTCTTGACCAACACACTTGATTTTTATAAACACCAGAAATTAAGCTTTATTAACTTCTCTGCTTTGTTCCAGGAAACTCAGGCCAGATATGAAGTCTACCCTTAGTAACAGTGTAGTACTTTCTGGTCTGTACTAACTTTACCTTTGGTTTAATTTTACTGTTCTCTCATTTCTTCTTTGCCTGAATTTATTTTTAATCCTCTAGACTATACATATTTTGGAAAGGTAATTCATGGGTGTGTGTGATTTTGTTGTTGTTGTTCTTTTTTTAAGACTATGGGCTCACTATATTGCCTAGGCTGGCCTGAACGGCAGATCCGCCTTCCTTGGCCTTCCAGTACGCAGGGATTACAGGTACATGGCACTGCGCCCAGCTGCATGGGGGCTGCATGGGGGCTTTTAACCTAAAACATGTGCTGTGCAGAAAGGTCTGTGTTCTAGGCACTTCATAGTCCTGGAAGAGTTGGATTATTATTATTTCCATTACAGGGTTGAAGACCTGAGCATCAGAGAGGAACTTGCATATGATCTCACAGCTTGTGTCTGGCAGCAGTAGATTCAGCCAAAACTGTGACAGATAAGTAAATGTACAGGATAAGTAGACTGTCAAGGAGCAAGGAGAAATTATTCCAGGAAAAGAAATCACATACAAAACCCCAAAGCAGAGAAAACATAAGTTCTGGAGATGACAAAAAGAACATAGTTATATTTAGCAATTCATTCATCTTGAAGTGTTCACCAGAAACTTAAATCACTTAAAATCAAACATTTAACTGATCCATTATTGAGAATTTCTATAGTTACAGTACTAACAGAGGGCTGCAAAGGTAGGTGAAAGCGAAATAAAGGTAGCCCTTTGTTAGGAGGCTAAAAAGTCTGAATTCTGATTAATAATGAGGAACCACAAAGCTCCTAAGCACTAGAGAATTACATGATCAATTTGCACAGTGTGGTGAATTAATTACATATTGCAGGTAGGGAAACAGACATGGTGACACATGTCTGTGATCACAGCACTTGGGGAGGCTGAGGAAGGAAGATCAACAAAAGTTGGAGGCCAGCCCGAGTTACGTAATGAGACCCTGTCTCAACCCCCTGTCCCCCCAAAAAAGATTTCAATCCAAGCAGTCTGATAATTCCAGAGTTTAAAATTGTAACCATTATACTATAATGCCTCTAATACACAACTGAAAAATGATTTATTATTTTCTCTCTTCTCATTGTATATAGAATCTAATAAGCTGAAATGGTTGAGCCTTAGGAAGATACATAGTAACAAAGGGCTTAAGCAGGCCACAAACGAATGATTCCTTGAGCAAGGGAAGAGCATGCATTCCGCAGGTATTTTTGAGCCCTTTCCACGTGTCAGGTACTACGTAGCAATTCTGTGTAGTAGTTAGAAGTTCCTTTTTTACATTTGTTGGCACTGGCCTGGGGAAAGGAGGCCATAGCATTGAGGATATGATCAGAGGACAATTTTCACATTTAATACCTGCTATGTTACTATGGTTAATACACAGAAACCTCAGCAGTAGGAACTTAAACAAAATACTAATGTGGAAATGCCAGTACTTTGTCACCCTTTCAGTCTAATATGGTAGTCACATGCAGCCCAAGCTCACAAAGTGTGGCTACCATGTCTGAGAAACAGAATTTTTTATTTAATTTATACGCTGATCACTTCCTGGAAATATGTTTATATATGTCTTAGACATCCTTGGGTATGTGAATCTATTATTTCATCTACAGATTTTATGAAATCTAAAACTTATCAAATGTATTTCCAATGAAAATGTAGTACCTGAAATAAGTATAAAATACACCCTAGATTTTAAGTTAGCACAGAAAACGAATGTAAAACTTCCCTTTCTAAATTTTAAAGATTACATAGTGAAGTACTATTTTAGGTATAGTGACTAAAATTATTTTCATTTATTTCTTTTTACTTTTCCTTCTAATTTATCTGTTTGGTAGCACTGGAATTTGAATCCAGAGGCACTCTACCACTTAATTACATTGCTAGACCTTCATAATTTTTTTTAGTTAGTCTTGCTAAATTTTCCAGGCTGAGCTCAAATTTAGGATCCTCCTGCCTCAGATTCCAAAGTAGCTGGGATTACAGGTATGCACTACCACAACTGGTTTACCTTTTACTTTTTCTAATGGTAGCCACTAGAAAAATCGAAATTATATAAATAGTTTGCACTGTATTTCTTTCCTTCTTTTTGAGACAGGTTCTCACTTTGTAGTTCAGGCTGGCCTTGAACTCACTATGTAGCCCAGGTGGGCCTAGAACTCTCAGGGATCCTCCTGTCTCAGCCTTCCCAGTGCTGGGATTACCAGTGTGCACCACCATTCCTAGCCTGGAATCAAATCTTTGTTCTATCATTTATTAGATGTGTGATCTTGGGTAAATACTTGGCTTCTCTGTGACTCAATTCTCCCCTCTGCAAAACAGTGATAACAACAAAAAAAAACAGTGATAACACTACACATGTACTGTCTTGGGGGTCCTCTACGTTTACAGCCAATAATCCATATAAAGCACTAGCACATAGTACTTGGCACACAGTAGCTGCTCAATAAACATTAGCTTTTCAAAAAGAGATGATGGAGAAGTTGAAATTATGACAAAAGGAAAAAAATAAACTAGGATTTCTTAATTTTCCATTATCTCAAATATAAAGAAAAACATAAATATAAAGAAAAAGCAGAGGTGATAATTTGAAATGCTCAAAAAGGAAAACTGCATGTAGGAAAACCTCCACATTTATAATAAAAGCTAAAGCAGGAACTTCCTCCACTCACTATGTGGAATTATGCAGTACGGCACAGGTGCAGTCAAGCAGACAGAAAAACATGAACCCCAACAGGCAGGTGGTGTCTGTCTTACCTGCTTTTACGTTTGCGGGGTGGTTTCTCCACTGTGCCAGTCAGTCTGCAGACCAAACACACGAGGACGGTAACTCAGAGCAGCATCCAGGAACGACCATGGCCAGGCCCCAGTGTGCCAGGCGACAGCCCAACGTCCCACCCTCCAGGACGGCTGCTTGTGGTGCCCATCGCTGACCTCACAAACTCCTTAGCCTCGCCTCCCTAGGTACCAAGACCCAGCACTGCTGGGACTCACTGTTCCCCCGAGTGTCCTCCCAGCCCAAATCCCGCTCTGCCTCCTTTGGCCACAGCCCAGCTTCCCAAACCCCGCAAGCCCCTACCTACTCATTGTCTGCCTCTGCCACCCCGCGAGCACCTCACCCTGACCTGCCCTCGCCGCGCCCACGCCCCACCCTCCCCCGGTGCCCCCTCGAGGCGCCCCCAGTTCCCCGGGCCCTCGGAGCCCCGCCCTCTGGTCGGGCGCTCCCCGCATTCCACCGCCCCTCCCGTCGGGCGCCCCCAGCCTCAGCCTCGGCCCCCTTCCTCACGCGCCCCCCTCGCCCGGCCTCGAGGATGCGCTCGCCCCGCCCCCAGGTGCCCCCAATTGCGCCCTGCCCGCAGCCCCCGGACTCCCGCGGGGGCTCGGCGCCCCCAAAGCCCAGCGGCCCTCGCCGCAACCCCTGGGCCCGCGCCCGCGCCCTCGCCCCATCCCCGGGCCCCGGCTCCCCCAGCCCACGCCGCACCTGGGGGCCAGGCGACTCCGCGGCTGTTGGGGCTGCCGGGCTCCTCTGACCATCCGGCTCCTGCTCCACCGCGGGAGCTGCTCCGGCGGCCGCAGGGCTCGCTCGGGAAGCTGAGGCGGCGGAGACTGGAGTAGGCGGAGAGGCGGGAGGAGGGCCTCGCGCCTCTGTCAGGCTTGCCGCGGGGTCCTCCTCCTCCGCGCCTCTTCTCACCTTCCATTGGTGCAGCCGGAGTGTGGCCGAGATCCTGGCTGCCGATTGGGCGCGCTACCTGTCAGTCCCGTGCTGCCCATCCAAGGTTTGGTTGAGAATGCAGGTGGCGGCTGAGGCGCCTCAGATACTGCTAGGAGGGGCTGAGGAGACTTAATCGCCACCGTGCGTCCAAAAATGGGAACTGCATCTCTGGCGCCAGACACCTGCCAGCAGGTTCTCTTGGCTCTGCGTCCCGCCTCCCAGACACTTGCTGGCGGCCTCCCCCTCACCTATGCATCATTCCAGAACCAAAAGCCCAGCCCTCCAATTTCTCCGAATTCCTCAGGCAGGTGCAATAGAGAGGCAACTCTCCCAGACGAGCTCCCTTTTGAACCACCTTGAATGCGGTCCCTGGTCTACATCTTGCTGAAATGGTCTCAGCATAACGCTACCCCTCATAGAGCAAACGGTCACAAAATTTTAAGACTCCATCAAAACAAAGCATGATTTAGCTGATGTGTTCTCTGCTGGAAAGATCACAAGCTTGGCTATAGGCGTTTTTAAAAAGCAAGAGATTTTTTAAATTACCACGGGGGAAAAAAATCAACACTGCAGCCAGAATGAATGCCATAACTAAAAGGAATGTGTTGCATTTTGAACGACATGAACAGAATTGATTCCTGCGTGTGTGCTAACCATTCTGCGATACTGCAGATGACTGTGAATTCTACACTAATCAATTTTAAGATAAATTTTACTGCATTTTGGCAGACCTATGCATGAAAAACTACCAGCACATATGAGCACAAGAAATACTAGTTACCTTTTCTCTTCTCTAGTAAGGGCACCCTTGAAAATAAGGCATAGTGCATTGACATAAAATTCTTTCTTTAAGGTAATGAGTCCTCACTACATGTCTATTCTTGTGTTGGGCAGAGCCGTAGCATCTGCTTGGAGTTAGAAGGAGGCATAAAACGTTCTCATGAGCCGCTTCCATTTTATCGGAACACGTTTATGCATCAATAATGTGACAGCCTAGAGTGGTACACAACAACAACGTGTAGGAGATAAATTTCTCCCTGATCTCCATAAATGACAAAATTCAAGATACTAGCAGGCAAGGTGGACATGCCTGTTATCCCAGCACTCTAGGCGGCTGAGAGTCTCAGGAGGATTGAGCGTTCAAGCCCAACTAGGGCAAATTAGCAAGATCCTGTCTCAAAATAAAAAATAAAAAAAGGTTGGGGATGTAGCTCAGTATGAAGATCCTAGGTTCAATCCCCAGTACAGGTAGTGGTGGTGGTAGGGTTTAAAATAAAATTTTTCATAAATCAAATAATATATTTGGTGTAAAAGGCTATCCTTCATTCTGAGATGATTCTTTTGATGATAAAAATAACTTCCTTTATGAAATAATGATGGTAAACTGTAGTGGATTTTGTTTTCTTGGTGCTGAGGACCAAATCCAGGTCCTCACACATGCTAGGCAAGCACTTTACCACTAAGCTACATATCTGCAGCCCCATTGTATCTTGAGATTTTTTTTTTGGTACCGGGGATCAAATTCGGGACCTTTCGCTTGCGAGGCAGGCGACGGAACCACTGAGCTAAATCCCCGGCCCTCTTGGGTTTTTTTTCAAATGTCCCTCACTAGGGGAAAAAAAAAAAAAAGGTATCAAGACCTACTGTTTGCCCATTTTATGTAATCCTAAAGTCACCAAACCACAAATCACCTCAATCCTGTTTCCACCATACAATAAATCCAGAAGAAAGAAATTATTTCAGAATAACTTGTGAGACAGGAAGGAGAAAAGGTAAAACAAAAATAGTGAGTCCCAATAAAAAGGATCAAGTCATTAGGGAAGTAATTTTGAAGTCACTCATTACATTCCTTAAAGTACTGACTAGAATCCCCTAATTTCCAATGTTTTCCATAATGAGTCAATCTCCCTGATAGATGGTAGACACTCTCTCTGCCAACAGAAGTGCAGGGGTTTTATTTTGTGGTACTGAGGATTGAATCCAGAGCCTATGTACTGAACTATATCCCCAGCCCTTTTTTGTTTTATATTTTGAGATAAGGTCTTGCTAAATTTCTAAACTGTAAAGGCTGGTCTCAAACTTGCAATACTCCTGCCTCAGTTTCTCAGAGTGCTGGGATCACAGGCATGAACTCGGCTATTCATTCTTGTATAGTACCTTTCCAAAAAGTACCCTCAAGTCTTCATGTCACGTCCAAGTCCTAGTAATTTCAGCTTCTGCACTTTTACTCTGCAAAACATGGATAGCCCATAATTCCGGCCACATTTCACACTTCATCTTTGTCTTCCCCTAGTAACTCCATCCTCCATCAGATATTTCCTTCTCCAAACCCACTGTACTTATAAAAAGCCAATCAGCCATTATGGTTCACTGTGGACTATTCTTACTTCCCAACCACCCTGAATTTATGCAGAGTGTGAATCCTCAATGATGACACCTTTGCACAGGTACTTCATGTGTTATTTTTAATACTGAGTTCAACCCGATATAGTATTCTGTTTTAGACACAGAAATTTAAAATTCAGAGAATACAATTTGGGGCCAGGGATTTAGCGCAGTGGTTCTGCCACCTGCCTCGCAAGCACAAGGTCCTAAGTTTGATCCCTGGTACAAAGAATAAATATATATATATATATATATATATACACACACACACACACACACACACACACACACATACACACACATACAATTTGCTCAGGGTCACAGTTACAAAAACCCATATTGCTTAAAATAGAAGGCTTAAATCTACTCTTAGGTTCCAGCTCTTTTGTGTAACCGTGGACAGGTTACCTATTCTCTCTATCCCTATTTCCTCATCTGGGTATAAGGAAAAAGAAAAAGGGCCATATAGTCAGAGGCCCATAGTAAGGCTACCACACAGTAGGACCTGGACAGCATCAAGCTAACTGCTTTATCAGGAATCTTTTCTATCCCATTCCTTTTTTTTTTTTTAAACAAGGTCTTGCTAGATTGCCCATACTCGGCTCCAATTTGTGATCCTTTGCCTCAGATTCCCAAAGTGCTGGGATTACAGGCATGTGCCACTGTACCTGGCCCCACTGCCTTTTTTTTTAGGGGGAGGGAAACTAGGGATCAAACCCAGGGGTACTTTTACCATGGAGCTACACCCCAGCCTTTTAAACATTTTTTTTTTGGTACTGGGGATTGAACTCGGGTCCTTGCGCTTGCGAAGCAGGCGGCGGAACCACTGAGCTAAATCCCTGGCCCCTTTTAAATATTTTTACATCTTTTTTTTCTTTTTTTTAAAGATAAGAGTTATGGTAAATTGCCCAGGCTGGTCTGGAACTTGAGGTCCTTTTGCCTCAGTTTCCCACTGGGACTACAGGCATGCACTATGATACCCAGCGCCCACTGTCATTTACACATAAAATCAAAGTGCTGAGAACCCTAGTGGGTGCCCAGAGAGTGAGTAGAACACATACTAGGTAGTAAATTTGTTGCTGCTGTTGACACACTCAAAGGAAATCTACAAACTTCATGCATTTCTGAACTAAGAAAATGTGAATAATCTAGCCCAGGTAAGTTTCCTGTCATGAGGGAAAGAAAGGCACATATGCATCAAGTGATTAACACAGAAAAAAAACAAACAGGGAATCTAAGGTGTTGGCGCCATATTAGGGGACTTCCCAAATGTTTTCTGGTTCTTTTTATTACTGTATGATTCATCAGCGTTACTGCGCACTGTACATATACAACTGAAAATTGTTATGACCTTATGAAGCAGGGCTCTAGGCACTGGACCCAGGTCTTTACTGCTTTTAAGGAACTGAACACTCAGCCCAGAGGCAAATGCAGAACAAAAACAAAGTTTCACTTTTCTGTACCAGTCAAGCAACCACATGAAGGAATAAGCATTTTTTAATCTTCGTTACATAAAATGCTAACTTCTTGTCAGGACATACTACAGACTATGCATTAGATGAAATTATTTTTGACAAACTTCCTATAATCTTTTTATTAATTTACAGAGGGAATATAGCACCTTTCATCCAAAGAACTGAAGGTGCTTTACAAACATTAGCATTTAAAAAACAATTACATTTAAAAATCTGGATTCTTGCTGTTAAATCTGACAATTTTCTGGAAGCTGACGGAAAGCGAAATCTATTTCCGACAATGACAGAGGCTCAGAAAGAGTCCTGATTTGCTTTCACAATATAGGCATTTTCCAAAACCTGGTGCTGGGTTTACAAAGCAAAAAACACACACATATCTCAATGCAATCAACAATATTTCGAACCTTATTTCAAAAGAAAAACTCAAGGTTTAAGACATCAAACTCTTCCAACAGTTCTAGACATCCAGATAGAATAGGAGCTGATTGGCGCAGGTTGCACATTAGATGTACTCTTGATCCAGGCTTGGCAGGATCACACCCAAAGACATTTAAAGGAGTGAGATTTGTCAAGGTGATACAGTAACCTACAAAAGCTAGCCAAGAGCAATTCAGCCAAAAAGAAAAGGGAGTAAATGGCAATTCAAAGTAGACAGTTCTCACTAGAGCCCAAGACATTTTATTAGAAACCAAGTATATTGTAGACAAATAAAAATAGTTCTTACCCCCATTAATACAACATAAGGGAATTTACATTCAGCCTAGATACAGGGAGTAACAGATCCTCCTCCTACAAATCTATGACTTGGAAGTATCTCCCACCACGTGATTTCTCTATGTAATACATAGCCCTTATTAGAGGGATTCAAATATTCCTTTTAGGCTTACAAAGTCCAATACATTCACTCTCTCTTCCCTTTACATATCTAAATAGTAAAAACTATTTTCTTTCCATGCAAAAAGCCATTATTCAGTTGAAGAGAAATCAAGCAAAAGAGAGATGGCAGTTAAGGAGTGGGCAGATTATTGGCACATGCCCAGTTAGTGACAAACAAATGCAGTCTGCTATGACTTTAAAAATATAAAACAAGAGGGCCAGGGATTTAGCTCAGTGGTTCTGGTGCCTGCCTCACAAGTGCAAGGTCCCGAGTTCAATCTCTGGTATCAAAAAAAAAAAAAAAAGTCACATTATAGGGAGAATGAAAACAGTCACATAAACCTAAGCGAAGGAGTGTCAAATGGAAAGACAGGCCTGAGGGTTTCTGGTTTATTCCTACAACTCAAAAGTAGTGACGGGCAAGCACTTAAATACAATTTATGGTAATAGGAAAACAAATACTGCAGAGAGCTGTTCCAAGACCACATCAAGTTGTCTGCATCATTAGTTTCCAGTGTTTCACAATTAGTAAAATACATAGCTACAAATCCCTGTGAGATACAAATACCTTTCCACCTGAATTACACTGCGGTCAAGGCAGCAACACAGAGCTACAGACCCAACATTAGTTCAAGTGTATGCAGCAATCTCAGCCGCTTCTTTCACATAGCTATACAATTAAAAGCTGTACAAGGAGCTCAGTGGTTGGGGAAAAATAAAATCAAAACAGTATTGTGCTCATTCAGTAAAAGAAAACCCTGATGAAAAATTATGGGCCAAGAAGCTTAGACTACAATTTTATTGCATTTTTAGGTAACCTGGAAGTTTTTATCCCGAAGGGGAAAAGTTGGTTTCAAAACTACCTGAACAGATGCTAAAGTGCTTTATTAATTGGCTGGCTTCACACAGATTTCCTGGGATGACAAAAATTAAGTATAGTAGTGAAGGGATACCAACTATTTCACAAAATGGTACATTCCAACATCTTTTATGGCTACAGCCATAAGAGATACTGGAACACTTGTCCTTATTAAGTGGACAATTGCATATCAAGAACTGATCATCACAACCCTTTGGATATTCAAATTACACAAAGCCAAAATAGGGTATCACAGACTTTTACAAAAAAAAGAAGTCTGTTTCTTTCTACACTTCAAATAATCTGCTTCAGATTACAGTTCACAAATACAAGTCCAGGCTTTTCAACCTTTCCAGTTGCAGTTAAAAAATGAACACTTTCTAAAAGTTAAGGTCAAGTGTTACAGCAAGAAAAGAATGACTCCTATTGAAAAGTACATATATTTTTACTTAATGATATTCATGATAGATTGTAAACCGGATCAGTCACATTTCACTTAACTGGTAACAAATGAACACATCAGCATTATAAGTATTAAATGTTTTTCTATTACTATAGAGGATATAAACCAAAACATTAATATGGCAGTTATGTTCTTTAGGCACAGTTTAGTGATTTTTTAAAAAATAAATACTACTGGATTTCAACTGAAATTTTAAACTTAATAACTAAAAGGTCAAGAACTGATTAGAGAAAAAAAGAAAAAGGAGTAACTTTAAGATAACAATGTAAGCTGTTTAAAAGTTCTAACACTTAACCTATCTGGGTTTTAAGATTATTTTATTAAAAAATACAAGGAATCTGAAAAAAGATCAATACAATTTTCATAATGTACAAAGTCATAAGCTGTAGCAGTTTTAACTAAATTTAAAAACACAACAAGGAGGGCAGCCCTTTAGACCAATTTATTTTATATCCTTTTAAAATATCATCCAACAAAGGACAATGAAGTTTACAGCTGGGGCAGGTATACATAACTCAAGGCATCTCTAGTCCATCATGCCCACTGAATAACAACTTTGCTGCTGAAATTTCTTAAAACTTACCAAACTAAAACAAAGGCTGAATGATACAAAAAGAGGAGTATTTCGGTGTAATTGTCAATTAGTTTTTTTAAAAAAGGAAACACATTCTGTTTCCTCAGACTAGTAAATAAGCAAGAGGTACATGCAGCAGTGTGAGTTTTAAGACATTTTTCAAGTCTTCTCAAATGAGTCCAAGGTGGGGATGAGATGGGGGAAGAAAACTGATAGAAAAACATTACTATAGACACCATGACAAACAATAAATTTAGATAATTTAAAATTAAAAAAAAAAGGCAAGAGGCAGCATTTCAGCAGCAAAGTGCTCAATAAAAAGTATATCATAGGGGGATACAAGAAAGTTGGGGTAAGAAGGGGGCAGAAAAATGGGTCAGCAGGATGGGTGAAGGCCTCAAAGGAAATACGGCGTCGTCGTTCTTGGAGGAATAACACGTTCTGAATCTGGAACTGCCCGGAATAACTTTGGTTCTCTTGTATTCACGTCTTTGAAGACCATGATGGAAGCAATATTTCCACAACGATAGCAGTAGTTAGGAGCAGACCACACTGTGACCAGCTTCTCGTCAAACATAAACTTATAGCCTTCGTGCACAAGCTGATGTGCTCTGCAGATGAGTTTTAAGTTGTTGATATGAACAAACTGCAATTTAGAAAGGCTTTGTAAGTATTTGGCACATTTTTTAAAAAATTCAGCAGATTTTAAAATCATTTAAATAAAGTACCAAATCCTGTTACTATTACACTTCTCATGATTTCAGAACCTATTCTGTAATTATCCCCAATAACTTTAGTAAGTTTAGGCAAACAGTTGCTTTGGGCCAAGTCAATAATAGAGCCATAGAAATTGTAGTGCCCCCCCCCCAAAAAAACTGTAGTGCCACACATTACAAGTATATGCTTGTAATTCTAGCACCTTGGAAGGCAGGAGGATTGTCAGTCTGGACAATTCAGAAAGACTCTGTCTCAAAAATAAAACGAAAAGAAAGGAAAAAAAAATCAAAGAAATTGTACAGCCATATAATTAGAATTTTCTGAACTAGGTGCTATGTTACAGGCCTATACTCCCAGCTACTTGGAAGGTTGAGACAGGAAGACTAGTGGATCCCTTGAATTTCAGACCAACACTGGCAACACAGCAAGGCCTCATCTCAAAATCAAAAGAGAGCTAGGAATGGTGGCACATGTTTGTTGTCAGCACTAGGGAGGCTGAGACAGGATGATTCTAAGTTCAAGGCCAGCCTGGACTATATAGTGAGATCCTGTCTCAAAAAATCTAAACTAAACTAACTGAAAGACAGAGAGATTGGGAGAAAAGTCGGGGGGAGGGAAGAAAGTTAGACAGTTTTAGATGAAAACCATTCCAATAGTACTATCAGATATTAAATACTTGTTTTTTATGGATTAATAGATATTTCTATCAATAATTTATTGAGGATTTAGCATGTGCAATTCTCGTAGTAATTTTGAAAGAGATTTACTGTCCTTTTTGCAAATTAAGGTAAGACAGCTCTGACTGAATAAATAACTTACCTAAGTAAAGGTACACCAATGGGACCAGAGCCTGGTTCTCTGATTCAATTATGCTGGAGCATTTCCCAGTATAATGTCTCTTTGTGTATGGATATAGTTGCTTTTGTTTTGTTTTCTGTTTTACAGTGTTGGGGATCAAATCTACAGCATGCTAGGCAAGTGCTCTACTACTGAGCTACATCTCCACTCTGTGTGCATGTTTAATTGAACATAGTTGAACTTCAAAAGTTACCTAATTTAGGGCTGGGGATTTAGCTCAGTGGTTCCGGCGCCTGCCTCGCAAGCGGAAGGACCTGAGTTCGATCCCCAGTACCAAAAAAAAAAAAAAAAAAATGGCCTAATTTAGCCTACTGTGGTACTGCACACCTGTAATCTCAACTACTTGGGAGACCAAGGTAGGAGGATCACAAGTTTGAGGTCAAGCTGGGTAACTTAGTTGAGACACTGTCTCAAAATTAAAATTTTATTTTTTGAGGTAATAAGGATTGAACTGAGGGTCTGTATACTCAGCTATGTCCCTAACCCATTTTTGCTTTTGTTTGAGACAGGGACTGGCTAAGTGGCTAAACTGCCTGGGTTAGGCTCGAACTGGTGACTCTCTACCTCAGCCTCCCAGAGTACTGGGATTATAGGTGTGTATCACCACACTTGGATTATTACTTTTTTTTTCTTTTACACTAATGGAGATTGAACCCAAGGTCTCATGTGTGCTAGGCAAATGCCATACCACTGAGCTCCATCCTCAACCCACTATCTTGTTACTTACCTGCTACTTTATGCAAATAACCAAGTGGATGCTAGAGTATGGGCTTTTACTATATAATCTCTTAACCATTAAGGGAGGACATAAATAAATAAACTGAACTAGAAATTTGAAATCCAGAGCCTCCACTGTCTAAGGAAATTATACTGAAAGTTTGTTATGTGGAGCTATCATAGGTCTTTCACCAAGCAACAAACTACCTTCCACAAAATTTTACCTTACCTCATTTGTGACCTTTGCTCCAAAAAGCCAACCTGCTCCTCGAGGACTGATTGCCCAAGTATCCACATCTTCAGGATCTGACCAAACCAGGTCACAAAATGCTCCTTTATGAGGAATTTCTTGGTTCCGTTCAATGGTTCGAATTTGATCCAGTGTTTTGATATCAGGAGATAAACCACCATGAACACACAAAATCTGCTCATCTATTAACTAACCAAAAAAGGATAATAAAGAATTAAATGTATAATAACAAATGCAGCCATTTCTAAATTCATCAATGAATGCTAAAGATAGCAATATAATTGAGATGACAATTAGATAAAAGTATGCAATGTGTTATACGCAGAAAAATACTTAAAAGTCTTAAGAAGATTCACATAAACTTACAGCTGCTACTGTGAGCATGTCAAAAACTTTGGTACAGTATCTCCAAGCATTAGCATTTCCATATTTGGTTTGGCACTCATCTGTGAAAGAAATGGAAGTGTTCTCATTAATAAAGCTCTGAATTTGCCAACCAAAACAAATATATCCAATACTAAAATACTTTCAATGCAACAGAAATGCAGCTTAAACTAGAACAGAAAGCTATGACACATATTTAGGCCTATTAGGTCCTTCATATAAAGGCAAAAGAAGCCTAGTGTCTCACCATAAATATATCCCTTTTCATTGCAGGAATGGCCCTAAGATGTAGTTGAAATTATCTGCCAAAATGCTCTCATCAGGAAGAATTAACTACTAATTTCACACAAACCAAGCAAATGGCTTCAGTAGTTATGTTAATACTAGTCAATTTTACCAATCAGATTCATTTACTTAATATTACTGCCATATGCCGACAATAATAAAATTATACATTATATGATCCTTAATTACAGGAGCATGGATAATCCCTATCTCAACATTTCTCAGTCCTAAATTATCTATTCTAAGATTTTCTGTCGATTGTGTCACTAAGTACTATTTTATATACAAACACTATATCTAGATATAGATAGATATAATAAGTGTTATATATTTAGATTTGCATATCCCTAATTTAAACATCTGAAATCCAAGATGCTTCAAATCATGTTTGAGGATGAAGATCATGTCTCATGTGGAAAATTCTACACCTGACCTCATGTGACAGGTCTTGATCAAAATTCACGCACACTAAAAATATAGGCTGTTATCTCTTATCAGAAATGTTTACAAGACTGAAGCAGATGGATCATAAATTCAAGGCTATACAGGCTACAAAGCTAGTCTGAGCTACACAGCGAGATTCTGTCTCAAAAACCAAAATAAGAAAAGAAATGCTTGTGACCAGAAGTGTTTGGATTTTGGAATATTTGCATAGATTTACTAATTGAGCATGCCTAATCTAAAGATGTGAAATCCAGTACACTCCCAAATCTGAAACTTCCAAATGTCGAAAATGCTCCAAAATTCAAAACTCTTGGAGTGTCATGATCGCACCCCAAGTCTCGGATTTTCGAGCTGATGGTTTTTTTTTTTTTGGTACCGGGGATCGAACTCGGGTCCTCAGCTTGCAAGGCAGGTGCCAGAACCACTGAGCTAAATCCCTGGCCCGGAGGTGATGATTTCAGTTAAGGGCTGCTTGACTTCTTGACTTCCACCTTAGGCTAGATACACAAAGTATATATGAAACATTAATAAACTCTGTGTTTAGAATTGGATCTCATCCTCAACATCTGTAAACATTCCAAAATTCAAAAAAAATTCAAAATCCAAAACACTTCCTGGTCTCGAGTATTTTGGATAAGGGATACTTGACCTGAACATTATATTATGCTTGAGTTTTATATGTTATATTAGCCTTGTAAAAAATTACATTTTAGGGCCAGAAATTTAGCTCAGTGGCACCATGTCTGCCTCTCAAACCCAAGGTCCTGAGTTCGATCCCCAGTACCAAAAAAAAATTACATTTTACATAACTTTTTTTTTTTTTTTTTTGGTACTGGGGATTGAACTCAGGTCCTTGCGCTTGCGCAGCAGGTGACGAAACCACTGAGCTTTTTTTTTTTTTTTTTTTGGTACTGGGGATTGAACTCAGGTCCTTGCGCTTGCGCAGCAGGTGACGAAACCACTGAGCTAAATCCCCGGCCCACTAATGTTTTTTTTTTTTGAGACAGGGTCTCACTATGTAGTTCAGGGTGAACTTGAATTCACTATGAAGCCCAGGCTGGCCTCAAACTCGCAGTGATCCTCCTGCCTCACCCTCCCAAGAGCTGGGAATACAGGCATGTGCCAGCACACCCAGCCTATCTAACATTATATTACAGATGTAAGAGTCACATGCAGTCATACACTGCCAACACCTCAATCACTGACAGAGCACATATATAACGGAGGTCCTATAAGATTATATCACCTTAGTCTGTAGCCATCCTAATTTGTGTAAGTACACCCTATGATGTACACACAACAAAATCACCTGATGATGCATTTCTCAGAATTTATAGTAAGTACATATTAGTGTTTCTTTACTGAGCTAACACCACAGTATACTATCCAAAATACTTATTGTTTTGTAAAAGAACCAATAGCTTTTTATGAATAAAAAAATCAGAAGTAGGGCCAGGGATTTAGCTCAGTGGTTTTGTTGCCTGCTGCCCAAGTGCAAGGACCCAAGTTCAATCCCTGATACCAAAAAAGAAAAAAAAAAAAAAATCAGAAGTAACTTGTAGTCCTGGGGATGGTGTCATGTACCTATAATCCCAGCATTTTGGTACCAGTTGATTTTTTTTTTTGGGGGGTACCAGGGATTGAACTCTGGTCCTTCTGCTTGCACAGCAGGCAGCGAAACCACTGAGCTAAATCCCTGGCCCCTATCCCAGCACTTTGGAAGACTGAGGCAGGAGGGTCACCGAAAGTTTGAGGCCAGACTGGGCCACATAGTGAGTTTAAGGCCAGCCTGAACTAAAAATTAAGATCTGTCTGAAACTAAATAAATAAATTTTTTAAAAAACCAACTTAAAAATAACTCGATGTCCAAAGGGACTGCTTTAAATCAATTCTGGTACATTCATACAGTATAATGTAATACTGTAGAGCCATAAAAATAACATCCACAAAGTGAAAAGACGGGGCTCAACATGGCATTTCACATGGGTGTGTGTGCCCACATATGTACACACAAACACACAATAGCTTGGAATGAGCTCTCAAATTTGAATGTGCAATACATTCACCTTTGGTAGATCCTAGTGTCCCATCCCAAAAGATTCTGATATTTGAGTCTGAGGAAGGACCCAGTAACCTACATTTTTAATAAGCACTCGGTGATTCCAGTGTCGCAAGTGTAGGTTTACACTTTGCCACACTGATTTAGAAAGATATATACCAAAAAGTTGACAATGGTCTTCTCTTTACGGGAAGATTTTCAGTTGATGAAGTAGGCAAGTTAAAGAGTAGTCAAGTAGGGAGAAAAAAATATAAAGTACCAGTATGACTTGTGCATATTTTGTTCAAAAAGAAAAGAAAATATTCAGAATCAGAAATAGAAGATCTTACCATAAAATCCATACACCTGTGTTATCTGTCTACTTTCATGATTTCCTCGTAAAAGTGTAATACGGTCAGGCCATTTAGCCTTTAGTGCAAGAAGATAAGTGAAGGTCTCCAAACTATAGTAACCTCTGTCTACAAAATCACCCTGTAGTGCAAAAGTTCACAGTTACAAATAATACAATAGCTACAATAGTCTTTTAAACTTATATTAAAGCACATAATCTCAGAGACACAGCCAAATAACAATAATTAAGACTCACACATTAAATTACTGTATGTATGTGTAAATTAGATTTTAACAAAAACTCAAATGGAGCCAGATTTGGTGTAAACCTGTAATCTCAGTATTCCAGAAGCCTGAGGCAGGAGACTTTGGAGTTTAAGCCTAGCGTGGAGAATCTAATGACAACCTTTCTCAAAGTAAAAATAAATAAATAAAAAGGGTGGGAATGTAGCTCAGTGTAAAAGCCCTAAGTTGAATCCCCAGTCCCCACTGGAAAAATAAAAAAATAAAAACAAGCAAACAAAACCTCAAATTAAAGTAAATAAACTTTCTACTAAAATGTTTGTACTTCACTTATGATTCAGAAGAGGCCTGGGCCGGAAATATAGCTCAGTGGTGCAGCACCTGCCTGGCAAGCTCGAGGCCCTCAGTTTGATTCCCAGTATAATAAAAAAAAAAAAATCTGCTTAAAATGGTAGCCCTTAGTACCTGGAAATTTATATTTGGGCCAGGGATGTAGCCCAGTGACATAGCGCCTGCCTGGCAAGTGCAAGGTCCTGAGTTCGATCCCCAGTACAGGAAAAAAAAAAAAAAGAAGAGGCCTATGGGAATCTGCAGGCAATTTTTGTAAATATTTCTCCCTAAAAAAAAACATCACTTTTCAATCTTCTACTACCTATATTAGATGCTAAGTAAAAGATCTGGTACTAGGATTGAACTGAAGACCTTTACAGAGATACATCCTCAGCTCCCCCCAGCTTTTTTTTTTTGAGACAGTGTCTCACTAAACTGCTGAACTGCTGAGTTACCCAGACTGGGCTTGAACTTAAGATCCTTCTGCCTCAGCCTCCCACAGTGCTGGGATTACAAGTGTGCAATACATGCCTGGTTCAAATATTTTTAATTATTTAAATTAAAAAATTTTAAATTATACCAGAAGAGCTGCCTCCTTAAAAAGAGGTTCTTTTCAATAAAAACAAGTATAATTATAAGTGTTTTAGATTCAGCTTTGTATTTAACAAGTGCATACAGTAACATGATATTTACCGTTATGTTTAATGTAGGCCAATATTATGCTAATAGGAAAACAGCTCAAAGAATAGGAAGGTGACTCAAACTTTCAGAAGAAATAATTACAGGGCTGGGGATTTAGCTCAGTGGTTCTGCTGCCTGCCTCGCAAGCTCAAGGACCCAAGTTCAATCCCCGATACCAAAAAAAAAAAAAAATTACAGAAGGATTCAAAAACAGTTCAAGAGTAACATCATGTACCAAAAGGAAAGGAAGCACTCAAGGTAACAGTAAATATGTGTTAGGAAAATGTATGGAACACAAAACATATTCATCCAGGCATAGCTCAATTAAGACATAAAAATGAATGTGTAAAAAGTTTGATAAAATAACAGTATGTTGAAGACTTATGCCTTAACCCAGTGGTTCTACACTATTTTTCTGCCGGCTACTGCCAGCTATGACCCAGACCTATTTGTAGTTTATAAAGCAATTATAGGAGGTGGTAAAATGTAGGAAAGTACAGAATTATCTTTCCATACATTTAAATACTGATTATCACATGGTAATGAAATTATTATCCAATTTACATGAAATAACCCAAATTTTCAATTTTAAATAAGCACATAATATTACTGTTTACATACCATAAATATGTAGTTTGTGTCAGGAACCTGACCTCCAGTTCTGAATAGTTCACAAAGGTCATAAAACTATAAAAGAAAGGTAATATATGCTGATTATGAATTCCTGTTCAAGAGAAAAATAAGCTGAGAATAAAATGTGCAAATAATCAGTAGTAAGAGGACTCCAAATATTTACATTTAAGGTAAAGCATAAGCAAAACTGCCAAATCCATAGTTTCCAGGCCTTGGAAAAGCACTAAACAAGCTCACCAAAACCACAGTCATTCCTCCATCATTAGTTATAAACCCTCCCCTCCTAAATATCTTTCCATCTTTCTTAAGAATTCTGAAACCATTTACCAGTCATCTAACTTCTCAGTAAGATAACCTAACCACCCTGACCATATTCAGCATCCATTTTAATAAGACAAAAGTGAATAAGTGATATGAATTTTTTCAAAAATAAAAAAATAAAAATAAGAAAGAATTTTTTTCAAGCCAAGCATAGTGGCCCACACATGTGATCCCAGCATTTTCAGGCAGGATGATTGCCATGAGTTCAAGGCTAGCCTGGGTTACACAGTGAATTCAAGTCCAGCCTGAACTACATAGCAAAACCATGTCTCAAAAAACAAAAACACCTGAGTTTGATCCATGGTACCAAAAAAAAAAAAAAATTTTATTGTTCCCTTCTAGTACATAAAACACCTCTCTGTGAAAGAAGTATACTTACCACCCCATGGATATATATCCATGGATATATATATGATGTGTGTCTCATATGTCATTTATATATGACAGTCTGAGCAGTAAAAAAGACATATATATGTTATTTCTCATAATATATATTTATCTTCTTTTTTTTTTTTGAGACATAGTCTAATTATGTTGCTCAATTTGCTTTCAAATTCCTGGTCTCAAGCAATGCTCCCACTTCAGCCTTCTGAGCGCCGGGACTACAGGTGCACGCTACCATGCCCTGCTCTTCATCTTTTTTAGAAAGCTATCTGTTCAAATCCTGGGCCGGGGATTTAGCTCAGTGGTTTCGCTGCCTGCTGCACAACCACAAGGACCTGAGTTTGATCCCTGGTACCCAAAAAAACCATTTCAAATCCTAAAAAAATAAAAAAACATTTCAAATCCTATTATCATGTTTATAAGCTCTGGCCTAATAATTCTATTCCTGTGACCACATCCTAAGGGGGAAAAAAAAATCAAATGATATTTTAAAATATGGTATAACATCATTTACAATAAAAGAAACATGATCTATCCACTCAAGGACTTTATGTATTCATGAATAATGATTACGCTGAAAACTATGTAGCAAAATGGAAAATAAGTTATATAGTACACAAAACTATAATACAGGGCCAGGGATATACCTCAGTAGTTCCGACGCCTGCCTCAAAAGCACAAGGTCCTGAGTTCGATCCCCAGTACCAAAAAAAGAACAAAACTATTATACAACTACACAATTTTATTATGAAAAATAAGTGAGTGTGGAGCTGAGCATAGTTGTGCATGCCTGTAATCCCAGCACTCTGGATGCTGAGACAAGAGGATTTCTAGTCCAAGGACAGCCTGGGCTACATACATAGTTCCAGACTGGGCTGGAGTACAGGATGAGACTTTGTCTCAAAACACCAAATCAGACCCGGCCGGGGATTTATCTCAGTGGCACTGCACCTGCCTCATAAGCACAAGGTCCTGAGTTCGATCCCCGGTACAGAAAGAAAGAGAAGAAAGAGAAGAAAGAAAGAAAGAAAGAAAGAAAGAAAGAAAGAAAGAAAGAAAGAAAGAAAGAAAGAGAAAGGAAAGGAAAGGAAGTTCATTTTAAGGAACAATTCTCTTCATAATATTTGTTGTGTACATGTACCAACTGCCACAATGAGTATCAACATTATATATCACAAACGTGTATTGAAAGAAAGAAAGAGAAAGGAAAGGAAAGGAAAGGAAAGGAAAGGAAAGGAAAGGAAAGGAAAGGAAAGGAAAGGAAAGGAAAGGAAAGGAAAGACAAGACAAGACACCAAATCAGGTCGGGGATTTAGCTCAGTGGTTCTGCCACCTGCATCGAAAGTGCAAGATCTGAGTTTGATCCCCGGTACCAAAACAAAATAAAACAAAAAACAAACAAAAAGAACACCAAATCAGTGGTGACAAACACCTGTAATCCCAGCAACTCAGGAGGTTGAGGCAGGAGGATTGCTGGGAGTTCAAGGCCAACCTGGGCTACATAGTGATTTCAAGGCCAGCCTGAACTACATAGTGAGACCCTGTATCCAAAAAAGTAAAAAAAATCACCAGCATCTCTTATACCTCAAGTGAATGATACACTGGTTATTTGGAAAATGGAAATGACATTTCCTTACATATACTGAAAAGCTCCTATTTGTTAATATCATCATCACCTTATCAGAAAGTCTTGGCCAGAGATTTAGCTCACTGGTTTCACTGCCTGCTGCGCAAGCGCGAGGACCCAAGTTCGATCCCCGGTACCAAAAAAAAAAAAAAAGAACAAAACAAAAAAGTCTTTCAAGGTCCAGGGATTTAGCTCAGTGGCACCTTGCCTGCCTTGCAAGGGCAAGATCCTGAGTTTGATCCCTAGTACCAAAAAAAAAAGTCTTTCAAAGTATCAGAAGCTGTCACACGGTAGTAGACTCAAATTTTCAAAAATTTCAATTTTTCATTAATAAATTCAAATATTATCATTTGCAATAAATACTATTGTTTTCTTTGAAATAACTATCTTATTTCCATCACTTTTGTAAAAATGGTTGCCAAAAAGCCAAGTCTGAATAACAAGTTTGTCATTCATTCTCTCCAGTAAAAATAATGTTTAATAAAAAGGGGCTAGAGGGCCAGGGGATTTGGCTCAATGGCACCAAGCCTGTCTCCAAAGCACAATGTCCTGAGTTTGATCCCTGGTACCAAAAAAAAGGGGGGCTGGAAAGGGTAGCAAGCCACAAGGCAACTAACAGAGACAGGTTCTAGCTTACACATTAAGTACTAAACAATTACATACAAGGATAAAATTGAGTCACAATGCATTGAATACCAAATTCAAAGAGTTTTATAGCAGTACCAAAGTATGACTGGATATCACATAGAGGGTTCATATAAAAAATATCTATAGCTGGGAGTGGTAGCTCACACCTGTAATCCCAGTACTCTGTAGGCTAAGGAAGAAGAATCACCTCAAGTTCAAGGCCAGCCTGAACCACATAGTGAGACACTGCCTCTAAATCAATCAATCAATCTACAGATTATAAGAAAAAGATCAACCAAAGGAAATAAGGACAATTCACAGATGTGGGAACCCAGAACTAATAAACAGCCTCAATAGTATCCAAGAAAATGTAGGGCTGGGGATTTAGCTCAGTGGTGCCACCGCCTGCCTCGTAAGCACAAGGTCCTGAATTTGATCCCCAGTATCAAAAAAAAGAAAATGAAAATTATATTTTAGAACAAGAGGTCTATATTTTAAAACTTCATAGCCCCGCACTGATGACATTTTACCAGTGTGATAATACCACATGCAATGAGAGGAAGACTACAATGAATTCTCATACATTTCTGGTGGGAATATCAACTGCTACAGCTTTGGAAACCCATCTGGCAATATACAGTACAAGTAAAGGTGACCAAACTTAATGGCCTAGGTAGGTATGTACAGGAAATTTTCATACATGTACTCAAGATAACATATGCACAAATATTCTTTTTTTTTTTTTTATACCGGGGATCAAACTCGGGTCCTTGCGCTTACGCAGCAGGCGGTGAAACCACTGAGCTAAATCCCCGGCCCTGCATAAATATTCTTGCAATTCTGAAACAGAAAAAGTGCTAAAAATAAATAAGCAGCTACTTCAGCTTATGACTTTAAAAGGTATACAAATACTTTCCTTTGAGTAAACCATCTTTTCTCAGTGTCCAACAAATATGCACTATGTATACAGTACTTCTCATTCCATCACACATTGTGAATGTGGAATGACCAGTCAAAAGAGGTACCAACAGTCTTACCCTCCAACTGCTTTTTTTTTTGTACCAGGGATCAAACTCAGGACCTCGAGCTTGCTAGGCAGGCAGCAGCACCACTGAGCTAAATCCCCGGCTCTAACTGCTTTTGTACCACCTGAGGGTCTGCAGGCCTCACTTGTGTGGTAGCTAAAGGTCAGTATGTAATTCCTTCCCTAGATAACACTGTTTCCATGCTCTGCACCACATACTTGCTAATATGTCCATTCACACTCAAAACTCAATCTTGCAATTCCAGTACTGCCCAAGGGGAAGGAATTGTGGAAATTCCAAAGGACATCTCTTAGATTTGATTTAATCAGTCCTATGGTTCTGATTAATAATTTTTTTTTTGGCACCAGGGATCTAACTCAGGACCTTGCGCTGGGGATTTGGCTCAGTGGTTTCGCCGCCTGCTGCGCAAGCACAAGGACCCGAGTTCGATCCCCCGTACCAAATCAATCAATCAATCAATCCCCAGCCCGATTAACAATTATTTTTAAGGGTCAAGTATAAGAGAAACAATGTTCACAGTTGGGTAGTAGTTTTAAATTAACATGCAAAAGGAACCCAAACAAATTTCAAATCTCAGTGCTGTGCCTTAGTGGCTATGAAAGTTTGGGTCAATTCTTCAGTTCGTTAGTCTCTTTCATTCTTTACAAAATGATTTTATCTCATTGGATTCTTAAAACAATTTCACATGGAGTATGTGAAAAAGTACGTTGTTGACCTTGAGACACAAAATAAATGTTAGTAAGACTTGTATGCTGGACTGAAGATATATAATACAGAAATGTTTGAGGTTGTCTCTGACTTCCTGAATTTAATTATGACTGTAATTCATATACGGTAAAGTCCTTAATAACACAAGTAGCCCCTGAATTTTAATTTTATAAGCAGGGAACACACTACTCATATAACTATCTTTTATGTTAGCAAAATACAAATGTTTACTACAGTTTTGGAGAGAAGTGTTATGTACACTTAAAAAAAGAGAGAGAACATTAACAGTTAAAAGATGACAGACATAATGGGGCCTCTACTTAGAAGCAGATGATGACATGCAGATGTCGGACTATAACCTCAGCTCCGGAAAAGGGGGTGGGCAGACAAAAACCCTTGTTATGTAGCCAAAATAGGCCTTTATTAATGGAATGGTCTCTAATCAGGGCCAATGTAGGTGCATTTCTGCCCTGTTACATGGTCATATTTAAGGCAGGAAAATTACAAAGACAGTAAGCCCACCGGCATTCATAAATACTGCACTGCTCACAATGTATTATTGCGTTATAGCCCCAATGACATTGTATACATAGAGTAGGCTATGAATGATCTCTTCAGCTTTTATTCCAAGTGAAAAAATTCTACAAATACACATAAGGTTCCCAACTAAGTAAACACTGAGAGTAGAGTCTAATGATAAGATGCACTCGGCATTCCTCCTGTCACTGCTTGGAAATTCTTTTTTTTGTTTTTTTGAGACAGAGTCTCGTTATGTAGTTCAGACCAGGCTTGAACTCACTATGCAGCCCAGGTTGGCTGTGAATTCAAGGCAACCCTTCTGCCTCAGCCTCCCAAGTGCTGGGATTACATGTATGTGCCACCATGCCCAGCTGGAAATTCTTACAAACAATAACCCAGCAAATGAAAAAAGTAAGCTAATTCTTTTTTTGTTTACTTTTTTAAAAACTGTATATCCTTTTATTGGTACATTTTAGATATACAAAATAATGATATTCATCATTGGAAATTTGCATCTTTTCATACTCTCTTGGTTTTTATTTTTTCCCACTTCCCCTGCCCTCCCTTCAACCCCTCCATCCCTATTTACAGACACTTTGTTTCCTTTTTTTCATTTTCTCATATTAATTCTATTCTCTACTTTCCTTTCCCCTACCCATTCCCCTTTGCCCATTTTCTTTCCATTTCACAGTATCTATTATACCTTTTAGTCCTTATTTACACTTTCAGTTTCTCACACTAGAGAAACTATTAGACATTCACACATGTGTGTCCTATTTATTTCACTTAAGAGTATGGCCTCAATGTGCATCCATTCGCAATAAATGTCTCTAATTTCTCATTTTTTATGCCTGAGTAGTACTCCATTTTATTAAAAAACCACATTTTCTTTATCCAGTCTCCAGTTCATTGGCATTTGGGCTGTTTCCAAATTTCAGCTATTACAAACTGTGCTGCTATGAATATGGGAGCACACATACCACCGTGTTATGATTCTTTTATTTTTTATTTTTTTATGATTCTTTTAATTCTTTTGGGAAGATACCCAGCAGGGGCATAGCTGGGTCAAATGGGACCTCTAGCCCCAGTTCTTTGAGGTATCTCCATACTGATTTCCACAGTGGTTGCACCAGTCTACACTCCCACCAGCAGTGGAGCAGGGTTCCTCTTTCCCCACAGCCC